TGCGACTCCAAAAAGTAGTACTCATTTCCTGTCCATGCCTATATACGGCCGGTAAGAGCTTAAAAAACTTTGGGCCTCTTTTCCTATCGACTAGACAGAGCTGTCATTCTTTTAAATTAAGGACTTAGCTGAGTTTATAGAGTTATTAAGTTGATTCACTTGAATGGCAGAGTCGCACATTTTAGCATTGTTAGTACCCGTACCTCTGTGGTTCGCTTGAGAATTCTTCTGGTCTGCGTATTAGCAACTCCAATCCGGGCGTTGAGCTCAAGTTGGCTTTTGTGTGTAAGATATAAGGTATTAATGAATATATACATATTTTTTCTAAGCTAATAAAAGCTCCTATTATTAGAGACGGATAGGTCGGAAAATTTTAACTATCAATTTTTAGTTTAACTAAAAACTATTTATTAACAGTCTATAAAAACTGGTATCATACTAACAAATAAATATTTTAAAATACTGAAGATTGGACAAGGAAGGCAAGGCAAGGCTACTTATATATTTTATTATATTAGGTAATATCAATAATATATGATCAGATCAGATAATATCTTTCTTATATAATGCTTTTTGGTATATTTTTTTCCGTACAATTAGGTAATATCAATAATACGAGTATATGATCAGATCAGATTATATTTAATTTCAGATATAATCACATATAATGAAGTGAAATTAAATATAATGAAATATATCAACTTTTAATAATCTCATATGCAATAATATCTTCTTACTGCCGATCACCGACGGTCTCGTGTCTTAAAGGACCTGCGTTGCGAAATAAAACTTGCTCGACAAATGGAAAGCATGTCTTCTCTACGATTTTACATGTGAGAATTTCGTCATAAACTTAATCACAACGTTGACATTGTTCTACGAATTACCATCGCTTATTCGATTATAAGATATATCATATCTTGAATATGGAACGATGGTGCACCAAAAAGTTACTTGAAACAGCAGTCTTAAGAAGAAGACTTCTGTGAAGATAGAAACTCAACTGTGAAATGCTCAAGTTGAGGGAGCAACTCAAATTCGTTTGCATTTGACTACAAGACTAGAGACCCTCAGCATGGAATAAAGGCACGGATCACCTAAATAGGTGGGTAAGAAATTTCAACTCACAATTCATTACCATTCGAGGTTTTAACTGATACTATAAGTCATTGCCCATATTGAGATTTTCTTACAATGATAAAACCTTTTCCTTTTTTCAATGGGAAGAAAACCTTGATGAGCCTTGATATGTCGCATCTACAATGGCTACTGTGTTGGAGCAGCGAATTCTGTTATAATGGAGAGAACAAATTTAAATGATAATGCAATGTTTAGTTGTGATTCCATTAGGTATGCATTAAAAAAATTAGGTACATTTGAGACAGCGTTATGTTTAGACATTGATAGATAGGATTGCACTTGGTCCTGAATTTTAAGGTTTTGGAAGACTAAATTCAAAAAAAATTTGACAAAATTATCTGTTACAGATTTGGAAAAGTGCATAGAGCAGTGCTATTTTTTTACATAATTATTCTTTTTATATTTTCGATATAACATTTGTAATATTATAATAAGAGTAAGTAAACGGAAAACTAAATATATGTATAAAAATATAAAAATACTGTTAATTTAAAAACAAATCAAATCAAAGAAAAATCTTTTTTTTAAATACTTTACTTTACTTTACTTTACTGTTGACGATAAGAGCCTTAAGTCTAGACAAAATTATGAAAAATATTCCGGAATCGAATGCGCATCCTTAAAAAAGGTTTTCACTGTACATGTGCGGAATGTCGCATGCTGCATGCCTCATGTGTGTAATTGGGATTAGTTGGTGTAGGTAGTAAATAATTCAAAGTCATTGACGAGACATGTAATATGAATCCGTTTTTCGACCACTGCGGTCAACATTGCCAGCCCATGTATACATTCCCGGTTCTCTGTTAATAGATATTAGGCAGGCGTGCGCAAGCATATGTGAGTACAACTAAAAAATAGTTTTAGATGCGAACTAAATTAATGCATAATTGATGACGCCTCGAGCCGGTTTTTATGTAATTTTACATAAATTTAGTTTTGTAGCAATTGATCTGCCTACAATTTGTGCCAAGGCGTTTTGTTGTTTGAAATCTTTCCCTCTCGCTTACCTACTTATTGGATTAGTTTTTTAAGGTTGAACTTAACGCAATTGTGACCCGAGCCTGTCATAAGATTTGCCCCCAGATTCTTGATGGCTTTGATTGACATTTACCCTCGCTAATTTAATGCCTTATAAAAACTCCAAACAAATAGAAAACTCAATAATGAAACTTTATACATCAACGCAAAAAAAAAATTAAGTGTGATCAGCTGCATGTTGTGTTGCAAGAACAAGTGCAACAAAGCCCTTGCGGGGCATCCACGATTTAAGGAAGACGAACGGTCATGTTTATTTAGTAATTGATATGCCACTAGCGCGTGAGCACTCCATTATACATATACACGTTTTCTCACTGAGTTCAATTCCCGCTTTTGGCCTTTCCCTTCCCTTTCCCATTCCCACTACCAGTCCCCTTCCACTCAACTCATTCGCTGTCATAAATGTCTGATAAAGTATATTTTCATTTATTTATGTTTAAATTTACAGTTGCATTTGGAGCACTTTATCTACTCATATCGGAACTCGTAATGCCATTCTAAATGAAAGCAACCTTTGTTGTTTCCATCTTTAGGCAAGAGCATTTCAAAGAGGAAATATGTACAATATTTCTTCTTGGTTTCACATATTTTCAATATTTTTTATTTTTATTTTTATGTTTCTTTTAGATTTGAATTAATATTACAATGCAAGGCAATATTCAAAAGTAAAAACAGATCGTTTTGATAAAAATTGATTTATATTGCGACCACAACACCAAGCCACACATACGTAATTCGGATGCGTGTATTTAGACAACCTCAACAAATCGCAGATGTAATTGTTGCTGGCTAATGGAAGCGATAGGCAGACAAATAATTAATTTGCCTGAACTCCACGATGAACGGTAGAAGGCAAATAATTCTAATTTTGATCATTTTTAAATTAACACGCCCACTCATTCAACTTCAATTCTGCTCACTAAATGGGGCTAAATTGAATCTGAGTTAGGCTAAATTGTGGTTAGGTAGATTGTAGAATAGAAAGGCTAAGAATAAAGGAACATATTTATATATTTTCAACGTTATGTTTTGGTAGTAGTTATAAACTTAATAGATCTTAACTTTCCAGGTGGTATGAGATTATCAAAGCCATTAAAGTAAATCTACTGACAATTAGTGATTGATAAGTATCACACTTTCTAAAAGAAAACAATGATCTGCGGAGGTACCATCATTTGCCAAAAAATTTCCCAGAATTTTATTAAATTCCGGAGCTAAGAATGTGTTATTGTTATAAAAATAATAATCATAGTAAAATTTATTATATTATCCTTTTAAACTACAAGTATTTCAATACTGGAAATTGCAAACTACAAAGGTTTTACTACCTTATATCAAAAACATATAGTGGAAGAATCTATTTATTACGAAATTTCCCGTTATATTTTTTATAGATATGTGAGGGCCATTATCATCCATAACCATATGTGTTCCTAATTCTATGCTTTCAATTTTTCAACTTACAAAATCATCTCCATCATCCATCATCTCCATGATAGGTCAAAATGTTACATGTAAAAAACAATGTCACAAAATAAGATTTTCGAGCGATAGCTCTGAACCTGAATCTAGTCAGATTAAAAGTTTGACTCAATACTATTTTCTATGATTTTCTATGTAAGTCTTATTAAGTTTATCACTAAAACATTCTAAAAGTGTTTAAATATATAGTATATTGAAACCTTAAGACAAGAAAAACTCCCGCTTACAGATATGGCAACCGGCAAAAATTATATAACCAGTTTAAGCAATTGACTATAGTCAAATTTCTATGTTCCACTGAAAGTCATGCATCTTATGAATATCTTATATAAATTTCCTACATGTATTAATTGGTCCTCTGCAGTATTTTTGGAAAAATTTATTGTTTCTCAATGCCTTTGGACAAGGAAGGCCATAGGACAGCACAAAAGAACTGCTATAATCCAAGTGCTTATTTCTACAGAAAGCCGATGTGTTTTAAGGAAATCTTTTATACATATATTAATTGATCCTTTATAATATTTTTAAATAGTTCGGAAATTCTGTTAGAATTTGAAACATATGGTTCTACTTTATTTCTATGAAGTTATGAACTTTTTAACTGTGTCCGATTGAACTATCATTTCCAGACGAATCCAATATTATTGGAAACAAATAAATCTATAAGCGTCTTATCTCATTATCGAAAAGATTGATCAACTTAGTAACTATTTTGACCACCACTACACTAATCAACATAAATACCTTAATTTTTTTAATATTGAATAAGTATATGATTGAATAAGTCTATGATTGTATCTTTCTTTACATAAACGAATACTGCATATATATGCTATATACTCATATATGTACTATACAAGAAAGCTGATGCAGATATTTTCAAATGTGAAATGAATCCTCCTTGGAATTGAAAGTAAATTTAAAATTACTTTTTAGTTTTCTCGTAAAAAGAGTCTAAGCCTCTCTTGGAGGCTTTAATCAATACTATATGTGAAATTTGAAACCGTTCTAAAAAATATTTGTATAAAAAAGACTTTTTAAGTGAAACTAAATCTTTCTAACTCTATTTTCTACAAACTCTACTTTTTTTCACACACTCTTAATGTCCAGTAACCTTTATTTCGGGTCTTATAGAACGCAACCAGAACTATTAAAATAATTTCGCGCTTAAAATTTGTTTCAATTATTTTTTATTTAACTAGTTATTGTCACATGTTTCTATGAGTATATACAATATAATGATTCTTATTTTTTTTTTAAATTAATATAATAAAAACTTTTAATAAAATTATTTAATTATTGTCAATATATTAGGTACCTTCGTTGTGTTTGCAATTTTTGATTTGAAAATAATTATTGGCCTTACTATATAAAGCAACGCTTCTGTCACTGATGATGGACTTCGTTCCACATAAGAGCTTGATGTGATCCCATATGCTCTGGTTTGTATTTCATGGATGCTATGACTATGTCGCCATCGATTTCACCTCTCTTCGACTTATAACGACGATTTTGAAACCAAATTTTTACTTGGGTGGGCGACAGATTTAATTTGTGTGCAATGACTTCCCGCTCAGCACCTGTCAAATATTTTTGCAAACGAAACCTACATTCCAACTCTAGTACTTGTGCTTGAGAGAAGAGTACTCTAGGTTTACGCTTAGAACGTGGCTTTCCATTTTTACGTAATTCTGAACGTGATGATGTCACTTGCGTGTTATCTTCTGAAATATACATTGATACTATTATATAATATATACATTATACTATATATAATAGAAATTAATTTATTAATTCTAATTATAAGACTATTAATTATAATAAATAATATTAACTAATTGATTCTAATTAATTCCACAAATAAAAAACTGTTCTAATCTTTCTCTACTTACTGGTACGTTTTTGGACGTCTGATATAATACCATCCGTACATTGGTCGAAATTGTGCACTATATCCGTAGCAGTTCCGCTGGATATGCTGCGTAGTGAAGCCGAGTTATTAGCTGTTTCCAGTAAGTTCTGTACGGACTGTGCTGCCATTGATAGTTTTTTGCAACTGACTGTCGAAGCTGCCGGCTGTTGAACTGCTGCTACGTGCAATACATCTACTTCAGCGGAACTATTTAAGTCCAAGGTAGGAGAAGGCGTTATAAAGGGCGTTGATATATATTCAGTCTGAGGTGATTGTGCTTCAGACTTTATTAACGCATGAGCACTTGCTTGTGAATTGCCATATGGAGTGCCACCAGGTACTCCATAACTGTAATTGTAAGCAGAAGAATGCTGGCCAGTTTGCGAACAAAAAGATGCGGGATAAGAAGAAACTGAGTCTGAAACAAGTGGTGGCGGAGGTGGTGGTGGTGGCGGTACATAAAACTGATGTGATGAATTGTATGGCGGATAATAGTGTTGTGTATGGTGTGCCTGCGCCTGTGCCTGTGCCTGTGCCTGTGCATGATGCGAATGTAGTGCTGTAGTTGCATATGCTGGATGATGGCTCAAACCATTTGAATGTGAATGTGCAGTTTGTGTAAATTCGTTGGAATAGTACTGAGGCGACATCGCTGCTACAGGAGTTATATGGTGACCATGTGGAAGAATTGCTGTTACAGATTCCTGATGCGAATAACCAACACGTTGTTGTTCATCATAATCATTAATATATTGTGCTGAGGAAGGATGTAACGGACTACTAAAATTAAAGAAAAAAATTCAAAATTAAAGTAAAACAATGTCATACAAACAAATTAATGTTTCACACATGTTCGCACAGAGGGCTAAATGTAGCCGCTAGGCACACACCAAGTACTGCAGTTCCTGAACATAGGCAGGGTGTCTTTGCTATATATGTATACACTTTTAATATCTTGCAAAAATTTCAAATAAATTCTAATTATAAGTTTAGGCTCTTGTGGTGACATCATTTCATGCCTCATCAGAATTAACAACACTAAGCATGCCGCAGTGACTAGACCCATACTTCCATGATTATAGTGTGTAAGGCACATGTGCTAACCAGGCAAATTTTAAGTTGCAACTCTACGATTTTGCCTGACCATCCACAAAACTGGCATAAAAAAGAATTCATATTGCAGCCATCACAGCCTCTGCTAGGACGAAGGCGCCCAACACGGCTTCCTTTTGCTCGTATCCGTTTTGAAATAATTTTTCTTATTAATGCACTAGTGTGATTTGACAGAATTTTAAAAGAAAATAAAAACTGAAAAAATATCCTTTCAGGGATGCAATTCATCTTGCAAGCATACCATATATTCAAATTGTATGTTTGCATAGGATATTATTATAGGATATTCTTATGCCTTAAATTATTTCTTTTCCATTGAACAAAGGTTATAATAACGTTTATTTTCTACAGAACAATATTTCTTCCGTGAGTTAGTTTGATTAAAAATAAATAAAATAACAAGATTAGGTAAACCTTAATATTCAATAATGAGAATTAAAAAACGTATTGAACCCTACGAAGGGAAGATAACAGGTTGATTAGTTTCCCATCATGTGAAATTATTCAATCTTCATTTATTATGAAGAAGAAATATAAGATTATTTTGGAAATTTTTTTAACTATTAAAAGTCAATATTAATTAAAAGAAACAAAAATAAACTTAAATATGTTTATATTATAACTCTTGCTTATATGATCACTAGTAGATTATTAATATTATTATTATTAATATTATTTTTATTACGAAAAACTCAATTAAAGGAACTTCTAAAATAGTCTTTTGAAGATCAAATAAGCCTCAGCTTATAGCATTTTGGTAAATCACTTACTATAACTCTCAATGTTCATATCCCTGATACTATGCTCATATTAGTATGTTGAAGACCAAAAGCATGAAAAATATTGGAGCATTTAAAGCCCATTAATTTCTCTTTCAAAATATACATAAAACATTGAAATTCTTCATAAAACTAGATTAGCCATCCTAATATAAAACTAAAGCAACATAAATTGCGACCAAACTATATAGCTCCAAATAGGTATACAGCACTACTTACTAAATATCAAAGTCACTTCACACTCCCAATGAAACGCTAGCGGGTCCAACAAGATACATACCTTCCAAAAAAAACATATTACTCTTCACAAAAGTCAAATGAGTAGAGTTAGTTGTATAATATATATATTTAATATCTTACAAGTATTTTGAAATATTACTAAACTGTACTTTACTTCTCATAACTATATCATTTCTTAGTAATAATTATATCTTTCCTGAGTAATATTTATTTCTTCGTACACAAAATAATACAATAACAAGAGTTCGGTCTAAATTCTTCTTATTATTCTTCTACTTCTTCTATGGTATGTGGTAGTTAAATAATATTCTATACGAATATTCTGCTAAATCACATATATAATATATACATATATATAAATTATAATAGAATACACCCCATACTTTTTTATACGTTGTGGTCGTTTTTCTTCTAGTTCTTAAGTAAATAAATAAAAATTCTACTCCAAAATGTTTTACGGTACAAAAATATAATACAAAGTCATTATCGAATACGCCTTCGCTAAATGTCTGGCAGAGACAAAGACACTGATATGTGCTTTAAGATAAAATTGAATACCTTCATTCAACCTTATTTTAATAAATTCTCCAGACAATATACAGGTTAGATATAACCCTAACATGGGATAGTATACCACGTACAATTAATTTTTATTAATTAAATAACCAATATAAATATTTTTTAAGTTCCAAAACTCATTATGAGGTGCACTATTTATTGAGTGTGGTACCCAGGACTCAAATCCACTACACAACACGATCATTAAATTGTGAAGACATAAAATATAGACCGTATAGCATAAACGATTGGAATATATTTAGGCAGTGACGGACTAAAGGTAAAAGATGCAAAAAGATGAAATATGTATAAATATGTCTAAATATGTATAAATATGTAATATTTATTATATATTCCACTAATTTTATAAAACAATATACTGCTGCTCGTTAGAATTTTTCAATATGGACAAATTTAGAGAAGTTTTTTAAGAATTCAGGTGTAACCTATAATGCACGTAACCTATAATATTGACAAAACTCCTCTTCAATGCGACAACAAACCCTTTTATTGGATATATGAAAGGTCACAACGAACTGCACTAAACAATCATTCTGAAAAAATATAAAGAAGAGCTGAGTATTTATGAAGTCATGAAGTCATGATAGATAACAAAATAAGTCATCTATTTATTTAAAGATTTAAAAGTAATTCATTGAGCATTATTGCTCATTCAAAGCCTTCCGCCAAAATATCTCAAACTTATAGAAATTTATAGACACTTATAAAAATAAGTATCAAGTTTTCTCACTGTAATCTTAAATATTTATTACTATATTACTGATATTCTTAAACAAGTAATAAACCAATTAAATTCGATAACTCTAATAGGAAAAATGTGCTGTATATTAAAGATCCGATCAGTTTGGAAGAACTAAACCATATATTATATATATTTTCTTAAAATAAAAGTAAGTGAAATCATATCAACTCTAATTAATCAATTCTTCGTATAAAGCACATTGGTATCTAAAATATATATAATATATATATAATAATTGTTAGTAATAATTTCACAATCTTCAATTGGTCAATTTAAAATTAATTCAAAATTTCTCTCAAAAACTCTTACTGTAAAATAAGAATTGATTAACTAATGCGACGGCTAATTGGATGTGTTTCAAAATATTAAATCCCGAATGTATTATATGGTAATTATTTTTAATTTTTTTTTAAATAATTTTTAATGTTACTTTAATTTCAATTATATTAATTTCAATTATTTAATAACACCGATCACAATTCGTTAATAACACGCGCATACTGAGTGATGCATACTATCGGTATCGTACTAGACCTTAATGGTCTAAGCGTGGGCTTTCTGGCCTATAAAAGGTGATGTACACCGATCTTAAATTATTTATATGTACTTTAATCGTCCCTACCTTTCTAACTGACCATAACTGTCATAGTTGTCATTTTGATTAACCAAATTTAAAATATCCTTAACGGAGAATGGTGTTGTATTAAGTGAGTCCGAATTAGTAATATTTCCAGGGCTAGATTGGTTGTAATCATAATATCCTTGCGACACTTGAGATTGTTGCTGATGCTGCAGCATTTTAAACAAATTTTTTTCTTGTGTTGAGTTTTCACGATTTTTTGTAAACACTTCTTGAAATTAAGCTTTAACAATAACAAAAGTATCTAATTAGCGAAATTTTTAATTACACTGCCAGGCACCGCTGCCTTCAGAAATCGCACTATTGATTTTGATTCTTTCCGTAAACGTGCGTGTCTATAATTTGTCAGTACGTTTGTGAAACTAAAAGCATCCATTTGTCGTAAACAATGCTGTCGTACGCTCTGCTTAAGCGTATGAGTTTCTTAAGTTTCCTGCTGTTCTTCTTGCAACCACCAACAACGTTTAGAAAATGGCTACTTTTCAGCCAATAGGAGAAGGCGCACTTGTTTCATTTTACATCGTTCCTTTGTTTTTTTTCCTTTAGTGTTTTGTTTTTATTGTTATTTGTTTTGTGTCAAAATTATTGTACTTAATAAGTTGAAAGCAAATAATTTGCCGTAATCCAACATTTTATTATTTTTAATACTTTAATTTTAAACACTTCAATTGCTTCTTAAGAGTAAAGATTTCTGTTATTAACACTTTTAACTCAATACAAGTTGTTTGTGATGTGATAAGTAATTTTATAATGTAATTGTTTTTGTTATATTACTGATTATAGTTTTTAATGCTTACACGGTCGAAAATTTTCGTTTAAATTTAAAACTCAGAGGGTTTTTATATTTATCCAAACTTAAATAAGTTTATAACAGTTTAATAGAATCTTAATGGTTTTAAAATAAAACTTGCGGGTTATGTTATCAACTCACCCAGTTTATTGTCTGCGATTTAAACTTTAAAGTTGAAGCATTCAACTTCTAGAGTTTATTTTCTTATATATTACCAATTATAAACTTCAGTAGGTTTAAAAAGTCAACCTCAGAGCTTGAAAATATTGATGTAAACCCTAAAAAAGTTTACAGGGTTGAGACTTTAAACTAAAATTTTCGACCGTGTAGTTTCATAGTCTTGTTAGCTCACTACCAAAGCAACCTTAGTACAAATATGTAGTACATAATTTAAAAATATTACATATAAACGGACTAATAATATTTAGTAATATTGTTTTTATTATTTTGACTTTTCTTAACCATTGTCATGGTTTTTTATCCACCTCTTTGCTATAATAAACTAACGGAGAAGTTGTAGAACTCATAAATAGAAGTAGCTTTTATTCTTCAAATAGAAGAAGTAGCTCTAAAAAATAATATATATAGAAATAATATAAAAGTATTATATATATATATATACAAATAGCTGAGTTGTGTTTGTTTTTCAAGAATTCCTGATAGATATATAAAAATCGGATGAAATAATAATTTATGAATGGAAAGCAAATTATAATATATTATAAATAGAAAGCAAATTAACATTTATTATCCAACTAATTATCTTGAGTTAGGCCGTGTGCGACTTCGAGTAAATTGAGGTAAAGTAAATTGAAATTTCCTAGGGACTGCAGTTATATAAATATTTATTTATTTATTTATTGCAATTATTTATTATTTTTAGTTAAAAGTTTTCAAAATTATTTATTTTTTTATTAAACATCTTATAAAATTTTCACAATGGTAACACCTAATTTACCTAATTTTCATCTAATTCACCCTACTCGAAATTCTGGTAAATATCAACATTCACTGCCCTAACGACATAATTTACTATTTCCCTCAATTTACTGTCAATTTACTCGAACTTGTTATGAAATTAAATTCTTTTGTAAATAATTTATTAGAAAAATATTAATAGTCAAAATTTTATAAATGCAAATACATTACCATTAACGATTAAAATATACTTCATTTCTCGGATTTTGGTATACCCCTTGCAACGGCTAAGCTGGATATTAAAAATAAACATCTGAGTATGGATAAAAAAATTGAGCAGATGAAAATTTCTGTCAGATCTCTCGATCGACCTGAGACAAACTGGACAACAAACGAACCAGTCAGTGGCTTCAACTAAAATGTAACCTGCTCAACCGTATGGTATCGGCGCTGACAGTCACTCCCTACTGGGAAGAAATGCCATGAGACTGGTTCTACACTATAATAATTTTAGTCGTGGATACGGTTATACAGAAGAGGATGAATCCGTATTTCACCTTCTTTGTCAATGCTCATCTTTGACCAATAGAAAATCTTTTGAGCAATTTTTTTCTTACCAACCTAACAGAGCTGTTATCCTGCAAAATTAGGGACTTAACTAAGTATATAGATTTGTTGGTTCATTTTCAGACGAATAAGTGAGTTGTGCGTTTCAGCATTATCTTTTAAGGGGTTCGTTTGATTTCTGTATGAACAATGTTAATCCACAGATTATATTCTATAACATGATGTTGTTGTGTTAATATAAATATCATCACTTTATTTGAAAGTGTTAATATAGTATAAGTATCTTATCTCCAAGAACCGAATTTTTTTCGATCCTTAAATATATTACTTTCAAATTGATGACAACTATAATAGCATCAGCGATACGCTTCGGTTAGAAATCAGAATTAACATGAATGCCAAACGCCTTTATTGTAAAATCATTTTTCTACCGAAGGTCATTTCCAATTTAATATTCATTCAGAATTGAAAATATTCATACGTAAAAAAATATCTTCTTTAAAATAATAGATCAGTATTACAATGTCTTCAGACTAAACGCTAATACACTTGTGTTAAGTAGTTTTTGTTGCTATCAAGTAATTAATATATTATAATTATTATTTTTATACAAAATTGAAAATGTAGACTGACTTCTTGGAATCAAGTTAGTCCTATTTGGTGATAAATTTGCTCCCAACACCTTCGCTTCATGACATTTCGAAAATGAGTAACCTTCAACCAAATATGAACTAATCAATTGAACTACTTGCAGACCGTAGAAAAGTAAAATTTAATCATATTCTTATATATCTTATTAATAGCTGATTTATTGAAAAAGACAGAAACGTAGAAATGCATTTGGATTGAAACATGTTCAGTGGAAAATCACATTATTAATAAATGTACGTTAATAATAATCTCTAATATTTTGAACCCATTAGAAGAATAATGCGACTTTTCACCTAAGGTGCTTCAGTTTTTTCTCCATCTTAGAAACCATTTATACATAGATCAATATTTAAGAACAACTCCAACGACGGCACTAAATACTTTATAAGGTATAATATTGCTAATTCTTAAAGTGCAGACGGTTATATCCATTACTATATTTAAACTTTTTCACAGTGGTCTCTGGACAAAACACCACAACAATGAACACCACGGATAAATATTGGCTAAATTAAAATAATCTGCATACTCAAATGCCTTTAAGGCATATGATTTCAAAACACATAACCAACAGGAAACACGCTACCACTATACTAAACAGAGCTAGGTGGAAAGATAACAACATAAATCCTATTCCTGGACTACTCAGAAAAGGAGAGCAAATACCTCCTAAATCTTAATAACATAGATCTGATTTAAAAACAATGATTGATACAATAACTGGTTTCTTAATAAAGTGCGGTTTAGAATTTTAACAACCAACGAATGCAGATTGTGCATTAAAGACAGAGGAATACCTGCTCTTATACAATATAGGAGAAGAATTTCTTACAAAGAATTAATCCCCAAATCAGGCATAGATCGGGAAAAGATTAAGACTTATCTAGATAACGTGGAAATAAAAGAAATTCTTTACTAAATATGGATAGGCCAAAATATTATAGCCTATCAATGGACGCAAAGTCACGAATAGCTAATGTTTGAGCCTATCACAAACTATTTCTAATACTACGTTTAAATTGCGAGATTAAGAGAACGAGAATAAGTTAATCTACATTTTTATTCTACACCATTTACATTATTCATTGGAGATTAATTTTGACGTTTCTCTTTTTATGTTGTGTTTCGTGTGTTTGATATATATCTGTTAATAAAGCATTTAATTACAAGTTTGTACAAAACAACTATAATATAAATTTAATAAATAGTTTTATAAAAAAATTCAACAAATTTTAGTTTTAATTATGTTTAAAACTGTTATTCTTCTTCTTCTAGGTGCCTCGTCCGCTTTCGAACGTTGGCTCTCGAAAAAGTGATCTTGTACTTTTATTGGACCATTTACTTAAATTCTTTAGCCAATAAAACTAAACAAATTTAATAATAATTTCACTCACTTCGGTATTTTCAAATTTTCAATGTTTGTTTTAAATAGATTTTGACATTTCTTTTCGAATTCTTTTTAGATCGTAAAAAAAATCTACGATATTAAGTCATTTGCAGGGTTGCACAGAAAAATAATTACCATTTCTAAGAAGATTTAAAATTAATTTCGACCAAAACAAGATTAACTTTTGTATGTAAACGCAGTATTATAATTAAAACCCAAATGCATTAAACCTTTATTAGCAATTTTATCACGCATTAGTGTACCACTAAATTTCGCTTTCTGACGATTGTTGAAATATTAACGATTAAATAATGTTATCGAAATAGTCTTTAAATACAATAATTATAAAAAAAAGTATGATTGTGAATTTATACTTAAATCCTTTTTTTGACATTAATATTCACGAAATTATTTACTCATTAAAATCACAATAATATTAAAAAATTTTGTAGCTCAATAACTATTTTAAGACTTCCTGTACACAACTTTTATCAATCCACCTAATTTTTGCTCAACATTCTTATGTGGATATGAACAAACGGTTTAATATTTGGTATCAAAATTTTTAGTAAATTGATGTTATGATAAAAATTAATTAATATGTTTTAATGGCTATTATATCATATTATATATATCATTTATTTTATAGCATAACATTAAGTCGCAAATTCAAGTAAAATTTCGAACTACTTCAGGTCAGGAAAAGGCAGGTTTTATACATCTGTGCATTTTCTTATGATATTTTTTGTTTCCAAATGTTCTTTGCTTATCTTAAATTTAAGCAAAGACAAATTTCATTACCGAACCTTGTTGAACGCCGCTGTACTTACTAATGTGGTTTGTGTATATACTAAATAACTTCAGGTGTATTTTTCATTTATGGTTTTTTTTTGCGCTCGTAAATAAAAACGCTTGTAGTTTTAGCAATATTTTATTTAATTTAGCTCTAATTATGAACATTACTCATAATATTGATAAACAAATTGATTTTATACAAATTGCAATATAGCTGTAATTTGAGCTGTCAAATTTTGTGTAAATCAGACTGCATTGTCAGTTTGATTTTGTAACTACTCGAGCAAATATTACTTATACTGTGTGAATAGGCTGTTATATTTCGGTAATAATTTATATTAGTATGATTGGTATATAATCCTATTAAAGTAAACGTTTCCATTACATCCTTTATGAATAACATACATATGCTATTAGGTAGTAAACGCTGTTTTACATATCAATAGGTCTGTTCCTGTATGTACTTTTAGTAAAATATATTGTGTTAATTTTTATTTAATAATGGATGATATAATTAATTTATTATTATATTATTTTTTATATATAATACATTAATAATTTATCCTAAAAATATTAATATGTAATTGAATTAATATTTTTATGTTGTAACTTATTACAATATATGCAATACAAAAATATAAATTCTTATTTACTTATTTCACAAATGAACTATTTTTTTAAGGCTACTGAATTCATAATATACTTCTTCACTTATCAAAATCTTTTTAATATGATGGTTGATCTTTCTAATTGTCGTTTTAATTTTCTTTACATATGTTAAGAATATTCGTACAAATTATTTTAAATTGTAATATATTTTTATTCTATATGGAACCATATAAAAGTTATGTAAAATTTATTTGCTTAATTACTTTAACTTAAATTAACTAAAATTGCTTATTTCCATTAAAAGCAGCATATAAAATTTTATCAATTTAATTCTCAAATATAATAAATCATTATATAAAAAGAATGTGAATGATAACAATTTCATGTCAATTCAATAATTTTGTATCGTTATTCAATAAATACAACCATGTCATCTAAATATTTAGAAGCATCAAGCTACACCGGTTTCGGCCAATCAAAATCGAGCTTCTATTTTCAACATTTACGGAAATAGAATTTTCTGTATACCTTGACTGGCATAAATTCACTGGAAGCAATCGTTTATTAAATAAAATTTGCAATTAAGATTTAAAACGGTGTTAACGTGTAGTGAAATTAAAGATTTTCCACGGGCCTTCTATTGTTTAATAAAATTATTTAATAGTGAATTGATGTAAAAATACATATTTTTAATGTGCACAGTGCTTGAAAATAAAAGAGAATCATCCCTTTTTTGTGTATATCGCTGTCTCATATAAAACGGCAAGATTTTGTGTAATCGCCAACAGCCAATCAAAATAGCTCTTCTAAAATTATAGTTCCGGAAACAGTTTTGTCGAATATATCATAGAATTATTATATCGATGCTTTCATTTGCGAGCGGATTTTCGAAGAATAAAGTAGTGTATCGCTTGTTCTAAGTGTTAGCAAAAATTTTAATATTTTTAATCTGATAATAATTAACTTCAATATATAAAACTATATAAACGGTAAGTTAATATGGCAAAGTAAAATATTGTATGTTAAAATTCTTTAATTTTAAAGAATTTCATGCAAAGTAAATTCAAGAGAAAAAATTTCCCAATGTTTCAATTTTGTTTTCGACAAAATTTTGGGTAATTTTAAAATATAAACAAAAAAAATTGTTGCTTTAATTTTATACTTTATTAAATATATTGTAAATTATTGGAATACATTTTTTTTTCTCTCTATTTTACAATTTTCAGGAGTACACAATTATTGATTTTTCGTCGTAGCTATTTTTCGACAATATGGCGGACGACGAACAGTTTTCGCTTTGTTGGAATAATTTTAATAGCAATCTCTCGGCTGGTTTTCATGAATCGTTATGCCGTGGTGATTTGGTTGATGTGACGCTTGCAGCGGAGGGGCAACTAGTGAAGGCGCATCGTCTTGTACTATCTGTTTGTTCTCCGTACTTCCGCAAAATGTTCACACAGATGCCGGCCAATCAACATGCTTTTGGTAATTATTCATTAAATTAATATCAATAGTAAAGTTTTCATGACCCGATTCCTAATATATTATAAATTTTCAGTATTCCTAAAAGATGTTAGTCATACAGCTCTTAAAGATCTCATTCAGTTTATGTATTGTGGAGAAGTAAATGTTAAGCAAGAAGCTCTTCCAGCGTTCATAAGCACAGCAGAGGCTCTTCAAATAAAAGGTTTAACCGATGTAAGTACATAAGTTTGTGTATATCACAATTATGAGATGGCGTGGGTACGCGCATGTTCGCGCCATTTTTTTTTTTTTTTTTCTTCTCTTATGTATCTAGTAAAAAATAATTGCTTATGGATGTGTGTGTATAAACAAACAAATATAAATATTTCATATACATTTATTACAGAGTGATCCTGCACCATCGTCATCACCAGCGGAACCATCTACTCCAACACCACAAATACAGCAAATTACATCCCCACGAGTACGACAACAGCGAACCTCACAAACACGGTCCTATAAAATAGAAACAATTGATGATTCAGATGAAAAACCAGCTACACAAATTGTTATACAAACAACAGCAGCGCCACAGGCAACAATTGCACAACAGCAAGCCTCACACCTGCAACAGCATACACATCATCATAGCTCCGCGCAACAAATAAGTAGTGTACCAGCTACAGCCACCGTCGTTACACACAAGCGTCCTGCACAACGTAGCATTGGAAGTGCACCACATATAAAACGCACCAAGAGTACAATTGATCCATTAGATGCATCAGAATCTGCAACCTCACAAATAACTGTGCAAGCAACAGTAGTCGATAGCAAAGCTCAACAATCTGATACCGAATATATTGACATGCCAATGGAAATACCCACCAAATCTGAACCAGATTACTCTGAAGATGCAGGAGAAGTAAATGCCACAGATCATGAAGCAACATATGTTGAAGATGATTCCTACGGTGACATGCGATATGATGAAAGTTACTTTACCGAAAATGAAGATGGAACAGCTAATGCATCTGTGGCAACATCTGTTACTGGTGGCAATTCTGGTGGTGTGAATGTTAGTAATGCTTCAGTTGCGACGACATCGACAAAAGCTCTGATAAAACAACAGACGTCATTCTCTGATTCATCATATGTCGATGCTGCCGATCAGTCAAATAATGATGCACAAGGTTGGTAAATATACAATCGATATTGAATTATTTCAGCAACAGAGATAATTCAATTTATAGTTTTAGATTTCGGGTGCAGTTGCAAACAAAAAGTAGCTTCAAAAATAAATAATAATATTTAATTAATTAATATGTTAAAATGATGTGTACAAAATTGTCAATGAAATTGAATTTATTTTAAACAATGAAAGAGCTATGATTTGTTTGCAACTGCAGCCAAATTGACTGCAATCAACTTCAAACGAGGCGAGGCGAGACTAAAGATAAATAAGCCAAGAAATCGTTTAAAGTTTGTTTCTGTCAAAAAAGAAATATATATAAATTAGTTTGTAAGTTAGTTTTAAGTCGGTTTCCGCAGCTAAGTTCGGTCGAAATTAATGTTTACGATGGAATCCTCAACGTATTGAATGCTTCTTGCGTTAACACGGAGAGGATACACATCATTTCAAGTTTGTGTTTTAAATACTAAAATTATGTGTTGTCTGTACGGTGTTACATATATATATGTATATTTTCGGAATGCATTTCGATTGTTAAATGTGTACGATAAAAAGTAAAAGTGTCAAATAATCTGAAAATTATAACAACGTAAGTACAATTAAATAATTTGTTATTTTAACAATATTGGATAAGTATAAATAACATATAAAATCTAGTTAGAAACGATTACTACATATATACTACAAAACTGAAGAGAGTAGTAACAAATAAATATAAAGATAGATAAAATAAGGGTTTTTGCAATAATGCATTTATGGTAATATTTAAAAAAAAATTTTTTTCCTTAAATCTGTTGCAGATTAAAGATTAAATATATGTTAGTGATGTAAATTGGTATGAGACTAAAAAAAAATTTAATAAATTTAAGTTAATACTTGGTTACATTAAGGTTTTCCAAGTCATTTATAAGTAGTTTCTAAATACTATAAAGTAACTGGATTATACAACTAGGTCGGTTGTTATAGTAATAGACAGCATAAAGATGAGTTTTTAATTGAGGGGATTGTAGGTAGTTCAGCCTAATTAATTATGTAGTATTGCTCATTGCCTCATTAAATTCAATTTCATAGTTATAAAAGAAGTACGTATATACCAAGTTAAGAATAAAACTGTAGGACCAATTACTTTTGAAATAGTTAAACGTATGTCATTTGATCAAATAATGAATGACAATTAAATAGCATATGAGAATATATAACTGTTTCAATGGGGTGTGAGGCCTAAAGGCACTCTAGATGCAAAATAGTTAACGGTCTACGTATTTATTGGATTGTGTACGTCATTTTTATTAGGGAGCAATTGATCTAAATGTAACTTGCAATCAAAGATTATTCTAGCCCATGACTGCATTAGATACAATCTAAGTCAATATGAATCATACAAACTAGAAACATTAATTTAATTTTTTAGTTGTCCTTTCACGAGAGTATTGAACAAATTTAAACACTAAAGAGATAGAAACTGATTGAAAATATTTGAAATTCATTAAATACTCGTATGCTCAATAAATTCATATGTAGTATTAACCCATAACAGTTCTCTACGTTCTAGATTTTTAGAAATTGTTTCACTGAAGGCAAAGAAGATATATTTGCTTGAAAAATTAGTTCAAGTTTTGAACATATATGCAGGGGTTTGTTTTTCATATATGTTGCAAAAAATGTGAAGCGTAACACAATCATAGTGGAAAATGGTTACGTATTTGCAGTTTACTGGTGAATTATAGCTTCATAAAGCTCTTTCACATAATGTGAACCCTTTACTCTATTTACGGTAAAAGAGAATGCATTTAGATAGAAACACATACAGTCGTAATTGTTTTTGGAAAATAAAAAAGTGCAGTTATATACCAAATTTAGTTTTATTAATTCCAATGTATGATCCAATATATTAATGTAATTTGATTATAATGTATTTGGATATTATTTCATCCACCTGCTGTTCCAGCTAAATAGATATCCATTAGTCTTGGATCTCGGTGTTGAAATTCTCTTCTTTTAGGTATTGGTTGGTAGTCAGGTCTACGTGTATCATTGAATGAACTTAAACTGTCGTTACTTTCTTCCTCTGTGGGATGGATTAGCTTTTTAATACGTCGTGCAGCTGCTTCAGCACTAGTCATTGGTCTGTCATCAAAAGACTTCGGTGCATCACTGCTATGCATAACTTGAGCATTTATTTCTGGATTTTGTTCTGATGCATTGTCATTCGTCGCCTCTTTGTCTGATGAAATATTATATTTACTTTTCTTTTCCATGGCATTGGTTAATTTAATGCGATAAACGCATTTTACGATCTTATCTTTAAATATTATCCCGACGAAATGCACGTACCACGAGTCTAAAATTCTCAAATTTTTTCCAGAAAATTCTTGTGTACACAAAAACACACCTTCAGTCTCAGCTCCATCTTTTTCAAATAAAGATGCCGGCAAAAATTAAATGGAGATGATTGAGATGCTGCCACCTAAATTATCTCTAATTATTAAATTGGCTCGTTAACTTAATCGACGATGATACCACCTATCTAAATGATTTTAAATTCGAAAATACCTTTGCCGTTAATAACTTAAAGTATGTTTATATTTCAGTTTTTCTATGTAATTGAATTATTTATACACTACATACGCTAGGTGGATGTAAGGTATTTTTTAAATATACGTAACCATCGTGCCTACAATGTTGATATCAGAAATTAAAATTGATTACGAGTAAATATTTTATAAACATGCATTGAAAAATAATATTCAGTTGTTTTTTAAATGGAAATATATTTATGTAGGGTAAGTAAATTTTTATAAAAATGTATGTGTAAAATTTTATGTAGGGTAAGTTATTGAAGTAAAAGTGGATGATGTACAGCTATATATTTTAATAATAACGTTTTTAAGTTAGTAAACAAATGTTTGATGGAATTTGTAACAGCTGGTATCTAATCATTGCTCAGAGTGCACCAGAGCTGCAGAAAATCTGCAGCACTTATAACACAGCTTTTTGATAAAAGTATCACATCACATATATTAAGAAAATCTTTCATGTGTGTTTTAAAATTTACCCGGAGCTACAGAGTTATAGAATTATCCCTATATATTTCTAAATAGTTCATAGTAATGATTTCAATAGAAAAGCCTAAGAAGAATTAGAGTTATGGTTTAAAATGTTTGGAGTTCCTCAAGCGTAATATCAGCTGCATACTTTAAGTGACGCAACTATACAGTAAAGATGAGTTAACAAGTTGCTTATACACACACACGCACGCACGCACCTATTTTTAAAGTGTGTCCAGTTCAAGTTAGACTAAGTTGATGCTAAACCAAATGGAAGATTTTTAGGATTTTTTGCACTGCACACATTTAGCCATTTATCAACACGTATCGACACATCACTACATTATCGGCACAACTTGTAATTTCCCACATTTAGAACGCAACTTAGTCTAACCCGCACACGTCCTTAGATTTGTTTTAAGACACCAAATGATTTGGTTTATTTTTTTTTATTTCTATACTTTCATAGCTTTTTCCAGAGAAACTGAACGGCTGTAATAATTTATTTAAATACAACTCTGCGTTTTATTTGTAGTAAATCTGGTACTATAGTTTGACAATAATGGATATTTCATCACGATTCATTTAACAAATGATATAATAGAAACAAAATAATTTTTTTTATTCATTTTATATACATGGTAAAATCTGTATTTTGGTACATAATCCTAAACAGTTAAATTGATAATTATAAACTGAATTTGGATAGATATTTGGCATAGGTAATACAGAATAAACGGGTTTCTAAATATCATATATTATGGAGTAGTATATATTGATATCTTATTGCTGCAGCTTATGCAGTAATCATTGAACATGATATCGGTTTTTGGGACGTGTCAATTTATAAAACAGTGACAAGTGATTATAGTTGTCAGAATTTAAACAAGTTTCTTGAATTCAGCATTTATTTATTTCTTTTTACCTATCAGTCAAAGTTCGAAATTGGTTGATACTATTTCTATAAAGCAAAATCGATATTGGTTGCTGGTTTTGCACTCAAAGTCGATTTCCACCAGCAAAATTCGTAATGTAAACCCCGTATAAGCTCACAGATCGCTAAAGGAGCACCAATTTCTGATTTTACAGCAAAAATATTTAAAATTAATGTAATTATATTTTTTTTGCACTCAATTAAAAAATAAATGAAAACTATTTCTGAAGATTGTTTTATTTCTTTAAATAATGGTACTCTGTAAAATTTAGATCTCTTTTGATAAAAGTAAGTTTTAGGATTTATTTATAAACATTTCTATCATATTAAAAATATTATAGAAGGAATAATTACAATTGATTTACAAAAAAAAAAAAATTTTTTTTGGCGTTTTAAAAACTAATAACATTTTATATATACATACAACAATGAATTATAAAATGAATTGTTAATTACTTTAAGGGGTCCCTGAATAAATAGCCAGAGCTTATTTACCAGATATCACGTTTCAATCTTGTCTAGACAGCTGGTTAATATGGCTTTCAAGATTTGAAATAAACTCTCGCGATCTCGAACTTTCAAATCGAAATGTATGTTTTCATTTCTGATATACCAGGGTGCACCAGTAATCATTCCTAGAATTTTTGCTTGAGCTCTTTGCAAGATTTCTACGTTTGACGAACAGACATTGCCTTAAAGCTGTAAGCCTTGTAGGATTTAAGTAAATTGCTCATCTGATTCGAATGCCATAGTCATTTATCTAAATATTTTGTAATAAGTTAGTAATAACATATTTAGATTGCGAAGTTTAACGCTGGAAGTATCGGTTTATTAAAAACATTTTGCCATATAAAAATGAAATCTAGACCGTGTGCGAGTTCAAGTAAATTGAAATTTTCTAGAGATTTTTTGCACTGCACTTATGTCAATATTTATTTATTTATTGCACTTATTTATTATTTTTGATTAAAAGTTTTCAAATTTATTTATTTATTTAATAAACATCTTATAAAATTTTCACAATGGTAATACTCAATTTACCTAATTTTTATTTAACTTACCCTACTCGAAATTCAGGTAAATACCTACATTCACTGCCATATAGACATAATTTACTATTTCCCTCATTTTACCATCAATTTACTCGAAATCGCACACGGCCTTAGTATAACAATGATTAGCATTTATATTATTCAATACATATTCATTATACGGAAATTCTAAGATATTAGTACTAGAAAATGCAACCATGCAAAGTTTAATCAACATTCAATGCTACTAAAAACAAATAGTACTCAACAAAAAATGAATGAAGTGTATGGGAATATATTGTACATCTACAAACTAGGCTTTCTGATTGCAAATTTGTTGTTTATCCTTTCGTTAAACATGATAATTGGTGGAAGGTTTTTTCTTATTACAGTGAATGTTGATCGTAAAAATCTGAGAACTGTGAAGTGTTATGAATATTGATGTGAGAAAAAGTTTTATGCATATATCGAATGTTCAACAAAATTTGCATGATGCCAAAGAGAATTGTAGCAAACTGGGACAGTTTGCTCTTTTATGAAGATATCCATTTGGTAGATTCATAATGTATCATATGTGAAAATTTCTTAAAGGAAATATATTTAAATTTTTGAATATATTTATGAATAATTAGGATTGCTCTAATATTTATAAAAAAAAAAATTATACCTGTATGCCTCTACAGTAAGAAGTTGTGCATTGAAGAGGAGTGTGGAATATGAGTAAAATCTATAAAAATGTGATACGCGTGAACCGAAATCTGTATTCTTATACAGGTAGGAAAAATATCATCAGAATTTGTATATATGTTTTAATATTATTTATTCTTTATACTAAAAGTGCAATATAATCCGATTCTGGCTTAGCAGTTGTGTATTAAGTCATCTACTTCAAGGAGTTAGTAGATTGCTATAGCACGACATGACCATTTGTGAAATTTGAACTGTATTAGATACTGCAAACGACTATTATATCTGGTCGAATATTTGTACCCTAATATATACATGAATAAACATTGTTAATGAAAAAAATATCTTAAACCTGCCATTTATTTTTCAGAAGGATACCATTTTCGGAAAATGCAGATGAATTCTTTATGTCCTGTCGATTGTTTGGAGAATACTTAGCTAAGCTGCAGAAGCAGTGTGACGTTTTTTTATTTATTAAATTAAAGTAAAATATTTTAAATTTGAATAAAAGTTAATTAAATTGTATGTAACTGTGTTTTTTTTTTCATTTAAGTAATTTTTTTTTTATGAAAAATAAAATAAATACTTATTTTCTTTATTGCAGGTGAAGTGAAATTTATACGAAGCCAAAAGAAGAACGCTCAGTTGGTCTACAATAGTTTTATTTACAATAAAAAACTTACACAGGCTAATGGTCACACCACATGGCGATGCATCGACGTGCTCAAGTTACGATGCAAAGCGGTTGTGATTACTAAAAAAAATGAACTAGTCGCAGCACGTCGGGAACACAATCATCAAAATCATAGTCAACGTATTGGACGAAGACCACTGTTCAAAGAGGAAGAGGAATTGGCAGATTTGATTGAAATTGCGCCTTATGATTTAAAACTCGCCGAATATGTTTCTGTCGCCCCACTAGAGGTGTACTCACAAAAAAAAATTAAACTTTTCATGTCCTCAGGGTCATCTAACATAGAGGGATATGAGTTCAATGATGAAAAATCTGATGTTGAAATAATACCAAATTAATCTGTGTTTTTTGTAATCCACATACTTAATAAGTTAGAGAAAATTAATAGATAATAAAATAATTTTTATAAAATAATTTCCTCAAAAATGTTTAATAGATAACCACTACATGTTACACTTTAGAACTTAGAATAATTTTAATGCAACCAACACTAATAGTTTTTTCCTTTTATGTTTGTATTTCAGATGTTGAACTCTCATTTATAGAAACGCCTTGGGCAACACCTTGCCTCGTTCTAAAAAACTTTATATACAATTGTCACAGCAGAAAGAATAATAAGGAATACTGGCGTTGTCACAATTATTCCAAAAAAATTCAAACAGAACGATGTCGATCCCGTTGTGTACTTGAAAATGGCAGACTTAAAGCGTTGTCTGGTGGTGAGCATAATCATCCTCCGCATACTGAGAAGATTGAAAAAATGATGGAAAGAAGCCGTATAGCTGCAGGAATATCCCGTTTTAAGATAGCACGCCAGAGATCTTTACCAGTGCGCTTAGAAGTAAAGTCAGAGAACGACTATGATGAAATAATGCATACACAAATTATGTTACTACATGAGTAGTCTAGAAATGGCTCTTAGTTGTATTGTATATATAATCTTAAAAATAGCAAATTACGTTCCATGTAAAAATAATTATATCTTTTCATTATAGTTACAGTGTTGATTTAATAAAAAAAAAAACTTCTAAAGATGTGAAGTTACATGATTTATTAATATGTAGTCATATTTAATTATATTTAAGTTAATTAGCATATTTACTACATATTATTATTATTATATATAACAATTTTTAGTAGTTTGAAGAATAGGTTTATCTTTTGAGGAATTTAAAGTTAATTCTAAATGTATTAACATAGAATATTGGTTGAATTTTAAGAGAACACACCGATTAGATATTAATGGATTTGTTTTCACGCGATTCAGAAGGACGAATAAATATTTTTATTGAAGCTATGTGCAGATATAACTTCGTAAGTACAAACAATATAAGTATTTAGAGTAAATTATACAAAAAATGCATAACTTCAATCATTTTTGTTGCAGAGCACGAGTTCTATATTTGCGGAAAAAGACTTGTGAAGAAAAAAGATTTAAAGATTTAAGTTATCATCATGGCGTTCAGCGAGGAAGAGTGCAAGGTTCTCCATGAAAGTCAGAGGTGCTATAAAAAACACAATAAGTTGATTATAATAAATAAAAAAAACTGACATATAAAATATATTTTTAGTATAATTGATTTAGATAAAGAAAGTTTTTTGTAACAACTTTCAAAACGTATAGTTAATATTTAAAAGACTAACATATACATATTTTTTTTTAATTCCAGCTGGTCCAATGTACTACAATGATCGTGGACAACTAATACATAATAATTATATTTATTCATTTAAATCGGTAAAGGCGGAAACTTGCTCTGCACGTTGGACATGTATTTCGCAGAATAAACTTGGTTGTCCTGCTATTCTCGTAACTAAAGGCAAATCCTTGTTGTCTTTATGCCATGCACATAATCATCCAAAACACAACATACCAAAAATTTGTTTTCTATTAAATAAAGCTTATATAAAATAAATTAAAATGTTCATGAATTATTTTTAATTAATTCTTACTATGCATGATTTAAATATAAAACACTTTACTAACATTAATATTTATTATTTCAGCTAAAGTCCTGAACTTTAAAAACCGAAAGCCTCCATTGACAACTGAAAAGCACAACATTAAACGAAGTTCAGGATTGAAAAAACGATCATATGAAGAAAAAGTACAATCAGTGCCTGCACTAGAAATCACTGCTAAACCAGTAACTAAATATTCCGATATACGACGTCCAGAAAATATTATCAAATCAATAAACAGTCATCATCTATCTATTATTCAAAAGCCACGGCTAATGGGAAAATGTGTCAAATGTCTTCAAAAAGCTGACAGCAATCAGGCAAAACAACTTAAAAAATTAACAACCTATTGTGCTGAATGTCCTGGAGGAGTTTGGATGTGTGAAACGTGTTTTGATGCTGAACATATAAATCTGGAATAAATAATTGGGAAAATATTGTTTTAATCGTTTAAACAATATTTTTTTATCAAACAATCATTTTCTTGTTCGAAAAGTTATTTCATTTTTTCTCAACAGATGGCTTCATTGTATTTCTTCGCAGCCAAATTCACTCATAAGCCGCATAATTTTCATATGGAAGATGCATCATGCTCTGGAAGGTCAATTGAAGCTGATGAAGACATAATATAGGCATTAATAGGTGAAAACTGATGGATAACAGTGCATGACATCGCTAAAATACTATTTCTAAAATTCAACCATTCAACCATGATTATGTGAAACCTCTAGGTTTAATCTCAAAGCACGATAAGAATTTTGTGCCGATACATTGACTAGTGATTTGCTTTTCAAACGTGAAGAGTAGGAAGCATTTTGGAATCGCATCACTAGAAATTAGAAATGGGTTGTCCACAATAATTCTAAACGCAATAGTCGGAGAAAAAAAAGGTTTCGTTAGCCGAGACATTCGTTAGCCGAGATTAATTAAAAAAAGTGAAAAAAAAAGTGAATCATATAAATCAATTTTTTGCCAGCGAAGAACAACAATTTTATGAGCGTGAAATCAACCTACTGTTAGAAAAATGGCAAACGGATTTAGACCATAATGGATAACATGTTACATAATTTAATTATTCGCCATAAGAAAATCTCTTTCATTTTCATAAAAAAATAAAACGAAATTACTTGCCGAACAACTCATACATCATTAATTTGTAAAAATTTTATCATATAAATGTACCACTTTTTAACATTAGTTAATAATTACATCTCTTATTTTATAAATCTTCACTAATAAAAATTATTTTACAATAAAAACTGTATAGCAAACTTATATTCCTACCACTATAACATATCTTATATCTTATGATAGCTTTGATTTCTTGGTTGCGCATTTTGATTCTTTTTGACGCGAAACGTGATTATGCTCTCCATAAAGTACTTCCAAATTTCCAAGACTTGTTAAACGGATGCGTGCGCGACATTTTGTTGATGAACGGGTTGAGCATACCCACTTTGTGCCTTTAGTATTTTGCATGAATTTCACAAAGTAGTTGTTGTCATAAACGAGTTTGGTAGATGAACGCTGTCCTTTCATAAAATAGTACTCTTTCGAATCAGTCATTTTTGGACTCCCTAGAAATAAACTATGATTAATAAATGTAAATGCAGTAATTTTTTTATTTTTCACAAAAAAAATAATGTGTACATATTTTAATGTACAATTTTTTTTTATTTTTTTGAATTATTAATGCTTTTATAAATTTTTATTTTAATATTTTTATTTATATAAATTACATTATTACTATAGTATTTCTAATGGTGTTTAAAGTTGTTGAAAATTTTTATTTTTTTATAGTAGATAGTGGGTCCGACGGTTCAATTTCTGTTACATCAGCCACGATTTCCTCATACTTCATATTTAGATGAGCAACATCAATGCTACCACTTGCTGTATTTGTTAGAATACTCTTATTTTTATCAAACTTTAGGTCGGGTTTCGCTTGAGGAGCCTTGCGAGCACGTTTTTTCCTTTTAACAATTTCTTCGTGAGTATGATATCGTTGTAACGGTATAACAGTGTCATTAATAGTGAAGACACGCGACCGGCATTTCTGATTCCACCATTGATTGCAACGCCAAAATTTCTTCTCTTCTCCAGTCGACAACTTTAGTATCTTTTCGAATATAAATGGCTGACCTCCATATATCAGCTGAATACGACCCCGTGATGTTGCAGCATAGACGGCAACAGTGCTATCTGTAAATAATAAAAGTAATGCTTTAGTAAAGTCTTAGAAAATCATTAATGTTCAAAACGTATAGTTTAAATATTTGAAATAAAAATGCAGTTATTTATTAAATTAACATTTATTGAATAGTTAGATTTTTTCAATTTTTTTCAATATTCTTGGTGAGGGTTCGTGATTATGTTGCGGTTTTGTGAGACAAACTTTATGTAATCCATTCGGTTGTTCAAAAGTGGTTATACGCGCTTTGCATGGCTTCATGCCGAGTCGCCGACTCCGACAGTTCCAATAAGTTGCATTACCACAGACATTGTTTTTAGCAAATGTAAAATTTTTATATAACAAAAGTTGCTTGCCACGTTGGCCCGGAATAAATCTCAAAATAGCATCTTTTTCCGTCATGAAAGATTTGATTTTGAGAATAGACGAACGTTCTGCCAAGTTCTTTGTACACACTAGGTCATCGTCATCGTTATCGTGATCGTGATCGTTATCAGCTTCAGATTTAATAGAGATATTTTCGCCATATTCGACATTGCCATACTGTTGATTTTCTTCCATGCTTGTTACGATTGAGTAGTTAGTTGTGGTGCCTCGTTTTTTATTAACTTTTGATTTTGCGATATCTTTTCTCAATACTTTTATCGTAACCATTTCTGTAAATACGTAAATGTTATTAGTTTTAAAAAATTTTTAGTACATTAAAAAAATATTTCCTAAATATTATTTACTAAAACAAAAAACTTTACATTTTCAAAGAATTTTTTAATTAAAAATTAGTCAATTGTTTACATTGTAATATTGTAATATTTTACATTTCAATAATTGTGTGAATAACCTATCATTAGATCATTAGATGGGTTAGGCCATTATGAATTTCTGAAAATACAATTAAATATTTTGTTCATAAACAATTTGATATATATATATTTATATATATAATTATATGCATACTCACTGTACTTTTGGTAGATGATTTTAAAAAGAACATTTTAATTATTTACTTCCTATGCTGTAGACTGCAGGGTTCGCTTTTTATATTATGCATTGAAGATGTTGATTTGAATCCATAATTTTTGTCTGAATTATACATTGGGGCATGTGTATGTTTTGCAGAGGAAACATGTATAAAATCTCCAAGATCTGTAATTTTTGTCACTAATCGTGCACGACATTTCGCTTTATGATACATTGAGCACTTCCAGTCCCTCGATTTTTGGCCAATTCTTGCTTTTTCATTAGGTGTATATGTGTTATCTTTGTAATATACCAATTGAGTCCCGCGCCGAGACTTAACATAGGTTGCAAATTTTAAACTTGCACGCTCTATAACAAGGAAAAACAATATCAGTTATTTATATAAATAACTACTAAAAAAATTTAAACATATAGACATAAAAAAGGTTAATAGTTGATAATCGGTTATATGAATTTTGTTTATTGAAAAGGCAGTACAAAAGAAATTTTTTGATTTTGATTAATAACACACCATAGCTATCTAGTTTTTAATATTCTTTCTGCATGTAATATCATATTTTTTAATTTGTTCTTCTAATGTATGATTATGTGTTCCATTTCGTATCTGAAGCTGCATTGTATCCTTGCGTTGAACAGCACGCGCGCGGCATTTTTGACGAAAGTTCGCACATTTAAGATACAATTTACCATTAGTTTGAGATGAAATGACGAACCGAAATTTATTAATGAAAATAAAATTGCCCGTGCGCATCAAATTAGGTGCTATAATAAAAATAATATATACATATATTATTATATATTAATGACTTTGTAAATATTATTATTTTATATAAATACTTTTGATACTGTAAAGAAAGTTGGTAGATTCCATTGTTAAATTTGTTACCGTTTTTAATTTGTTTTTATTAATTTTAACATTTTTATACATTTAAAATTGTACTTCTAATTATAATTAAATGTTTTTACAGATGTGAAATTATAGCAATTATGACACCATTTGATGTTCTCCGAAAAAAAAAATTATAAAGCTATTAAGGAATTTACAATGAAACCTCAATAACTCGAACCTCTTTATTAAGTGGTAATCTACAGTAAGTTGAAAAAAAATTTGCATTCTCTTCCGCTGAACCATTAAATATGCGATATGTCAAATTATTTAAACTTTGTCACTTGAACAAAATGTTATTTCCCTAAGAGGTATTGATAAAATATATTTATACTCCATAAATAATTAAAATATAATAATCTTATTTGGAATTTTCCAAACTTATAGTAATAAAATTGAAAAACAATGCATGGAGTTTTTGCTCTTTCTGAACCATTAATATCAACCGAGTAAGCCAGAGTAACTACTTACACACTACAAATCAACATTAAGAGATGTTCTTGATATAGAGGATTACGTATTTGGTTCATTATTAGATCTTGGAAAAATAATTGACAAGCAATTTAATAATTACTTTAATCAAAAGAACATAATAGATATTTTTTTAGTTGTTTGTACAGTTGACTTGATTCATACTACAGATACATAATTTCTATTTAAATATCCTTGTTAAATCGAAAACGCATTTACTCAAAAGTTTTAAAATTTTTCTCAAAATTCGAGATATCTTGATTCCACTGTATTTACCTCTTTATATGATTAAAGTAATAAATTCTACACAAAATAATTATAGAATATTATAAAATTAAGATGAGACTACCTGAAAAAAAAAATATGTTAGTATTTATAAACCAATTTTTTTTAAATTAAATTATACCACACTTATTATTGGCTAATCATTGTCGCTTATCGTTAATAATTGTACATCATAATCATGATTATGCTGCATACGACAAAATTAAATATTATCCAAACCGGAGGGAATACATCTAGCAGGGCATCGCAATGCAGTATTACTATTTTTGTTACAAAATTCAAAATTTCTAGTTGGACTGTACTTGCGTTCATTTGTGCAATGAAATGCCTTGCGGATAAGACTTAGAGCACTCCTACGATTAGGAACATATCTACTTTCTTATAAGCCTCTTGAAAAGATTTACTGTTAGATTTAAGTCTATAATTTTTGTCTGATTGTATATTGGAGGATGTGTATGTCTTGCAGAGGTAACATGTATTACATCTCCAAAATCTGTAATTTCTGTCACTAATCGTGCACAAAATTTTGCCTTATAGCACGTGGAGCAATTCGATTTTCTCTTGATTTTTTGCTAACTTCTGCTTTTTCCTTCGGTGTGTATGTGTACCTTTGTAAAATACCAACTGAGTATCTCGACGTGACTGATGCAAATTTTGAACTTGACTGCTCTAGAAAAATGTCAATCATTTAAATAATTATTAAAAACTTAAAACATATAAACATAAAAAGGTTAATACTTGAAAATCGGTTATATAAATTTTGTTTATTGAAAAGGTAATACAAATAAAATACGTACCATAGCTATCTAGTTTTTAATATTTTTTCTGCATTTAAGATTGTTTTGTTTAATTTGTTCTTCTAATGTATGATTATGTGTTCCATTTCGTATCTGAAGCTGCATGTTATCATTTCGTTGAATAGCTCGCGCGCGACATTGTTGACGAAAGTTTACGCATCGAAGATACAATTTAGCATGAGTTTGAGATGAAATGACGAACCGAAATTTATTAATGAAAATAGAATTGCCCGTACGTAACAAATTTGGTGCTATAATAAAAATATATATATATAATTTATTATATATTAATATTTTTGTAATTGTTATTTTAATATAAAACTATTAACGAAGACATATCTTTATAGTATTTTTTTCAAATAATATTTAAACTTGTACATAGATACTTTCGATACTATAAAGAGACAGAAAAGTTTTACTTTGTTAGATTTAGTATCGTTTATAATTTATTTATTAATCTTAATTACATAAATTTAAAATTTTCATTCTTATTAAAATTACGTGTTTACAGGTGTAAAATTGTAACAATTAAGACGGAATTTGTAGTTATCCAAAATTTTTTAGGCTATAATGTATGATGTTATTATATACATGATTTTTAAAATAAAAGTAGGGAATATATTTACCTTTATCTATTGTTAAGGTAATAAATTTTATTTCTAAAGTAACCGACAATGACAACATAAATGAGAATATCCTGAAATAAAATATTTAAATATTTTTAATTCATCTTTTTTATATTAAATTATACCCCACCTATTATTGGCGTTTTTTGCTTAATCATTACTAATTGGATCGTGATTATGTTGCTTACGACTAAATTTGATATTATTGAAACCGGAAGTAATACATCTTGCAGGACATCGCAGTGCAGTATTACTATTTTTGTTACAAACCCAATTTCTAGTTGTACTGTACTTGCGTTCAATTGTGTAATGAAATCCTTTGTGGATAAGATTTAGACCACCCCTACGATTGCGGGTAAAGCTATAATCTGCTTTCATCCAAACATCTGCAAAACATTTGCTATGAGTTAATTACTAAAACCTTTATAAAAATTTGTAATAGTTTTAGTTTATGCGAAGAAATAGTATAAATTGAATATTTGTTATATTTGTACTTTATTCAGTTTTAACTCTTATTTTGAGTTGAGAATGAGAATGTATAAAACTTAAGTTGCTATCATTTTTAATTCTTACATTTAATTATGATTATGTACCCCTCTGATGGATATAATTTCATCAAATTTTGTAATTGCACGAGCGGAACACTTCGTATATTTGCATCGCATTTTTACGCATTCCCAGTAGCAAGCATCCTTAATTTTTCTATTTAATGTAAATGGTTTATCATTAAGGTTAAGTAGCTTTTTACCACGGCAACTGCGGGAGAAATATATTTTAAGTTGACTGTAACATGTCTTATTATCCACTTTCAAAGCACGGGCAAGGCCTAAAAATAGTGTAAGTTAATTTATGTTATAAATAATAATAAATAATTACATAGAAACATTTAGATACTAATAAATCCCATATATACTTTGCGTTTATTTTTTATTTACTTTTATTGATTAAAACTATATATTACATTAATTATCATTACAATTTATAGTTATCTAAGACTTGAACAAGCATCTGAAAGATATATTAGTTTAATGGCTGAATTCAGTGATATTATGAATTATTTTTATACATACCGTAAAAACTTAAGTTAATTAAACTACCTTTTATTAAGAATAATAAATGATATGTAATAAATAGCAGGTTCAAGTACCTTTTTGGTTGCAATAAAGTTCTTGTCCATGCATCTTTCATTAAATTTTTTAATTAATGTCTGCGCACAAAACTTTACACTTTTTTTTTATAAACTATGACATAGTATATATATTAGTAAAAAAAACAACACAACATAACATAATACACTTAAATAATAATAGTCAAGTCTGTTGCAATTTTCATATACTTAAAACCACATTATTAAAAAAATACTTTCAACATATTCCAAATCCAAATTTATTTCCTCGTAAACAGTATAACGTAAATATATTAATTACGTTAATTTATTTAATTTTATATTGCCTTTCACTTAAATATAATAACAAACTACGAAAATAAAACATGTTATCAAAACTTTTTACAACATTTTTTATGCATAAAAAACCAAGCGTATTTTCAGGGTTGCAAAACAATATAATGAATACTACTATTTATATATAAATAACTCTAACTCAATACAAACGTATAGTTTTAAAAATAAAATTAAATATTAATTTATATATTAAATTTTTGAAAATAACTATATATATTATATATAACATGGAAATGTTAGAAACTAATTTTTTTTGATTTTTATTTATGTTATAAGATAAGTAGTTTTCAAAATAAGAAATACTACCATGGCGTTAAAACGATTGACAAGAACACTGACGCGTAGTTGCCAAAATGTGCATTTTTCCTAATTTTTAGTCTTTACTATTTGTTTTTCTCTATACATTGTGTATATTTGTATATTTTATAGTAATTGTAGTTAGTGTTACAACTTTGGTATAATGTAAGAAGTTTTACATGTGTAGTATTATGTTTTTACCTCTTAATAATAATTCTTTCCAAATCCAACCAAAGTATTTTTAGTATATTAAAGTTTATATGTATGCTGTATAAGAAAAAATATATAAAATAAAGTTTTAAAAATTGTCGTGTTTTTTTATTTGATAAACTTAAACATATTCAGTTTATGTATCAGTGTTAAGAATAACTTAAAACTTCTTATAATTATTTTAGCAAAACAAAATGTTCGAGAAACAAAAAACAAACCTGGCACTATACCTTTGCACACAGGAAGTCGCGTATTTGTGTCCAAAGCAAATTTAGGTAAAATATTTATAGATGATGCCTGTATCTACACTTCTCGCTTATCGGAATTGGTTTTCGGTTTGAAAGTGCTGGAGGCAGCTGCGCGCAGATCTCCAGAAAAACAAGTGTCTTTTTTGGATGAACATGCACTGAAGTCGGTTATAAGTAAGTTTAAAAGAATACTATTTCTGCATACTATTTAATATGTGTTTATACTTTTCTTTACGTTATAGCTCATGTTGTTCAGATTTTCCTTAAACGTGGGAAGAATATAGATGGAAAAATGGTGCTCAACTTTATTAAGCATAAATTAAGAACAATGGCATTATATTAATTCAAACATAAAAACAGCTTATTAAAAATAAAAACTAAAATTTACTTAACTACTTAAGGAGTACTTATTTAAATACTATTTTAAAAACTTATATCCGATATCATTATTTGTTAAATAAATGATATATTTATTTTTAGGTTTGAAATACTTTTACGATGAGAAGCAGACAAATGAATGTTTACAGTACACCACGACTCAAAGGGGCCGTGTTATGCTAATTTATAATGGATATCGTTACGTAGAAAATCGACAAAGTCATAAAAATATATTTTGGCGTTGTTCACGGTATGTGAAATATGGTTGTCGTGCAACTGTTGTGACTTCAAAATTGAGTGACGATGGCAACGTTCGCATTACAGGAGCACCACATACCCATAACCCTGAAATAAAAACCGAACCTCTAGTTGATATGTCAACTAATATTATGGATGATCCGAAAAGTTGTCTGTTTGGGATGGTGTCATTATTAGGAAACTAAAAAATAAATTAATATTAACTTAGGCGTTTTAATCAAAATCCTTAATAAAATTTAATTAAACTACTTAATCTTTGAATAAAATTTATTTTAGTATTTGATAGTGATAATTTGATAAATGGTTAAGGAAACACTAACGATTTGTATATTTCAGGAATGTGTAAAACATTTTACCGGAAAAAATTAACATTGCCTAAACTACTTGACGGACGATTTTACAATAACATACAGCCAAATGTAAGAACTCCAGGAGCAATACAAGCTACATGTACAACTTGCCATTGCGTTATTTCTGGCACAAGAAAATCAACAGGAAATTTCCTAAGTCACATAAAGAGAAAACACAAAGAATTACACGAACTTTGTCAGAAATATTGCCAAACAAAATTTAATATAAATAATACTTTAAGTTTTACATCAAATGGCATGAACAAAGTTAAGGAAGAACTTCTATGATTATTTATAAACAATTGTTTACGCAATTAGCTTTGTTTTGCGAAATTTGTCTTTAAAAACTATATATAATTTTTATAGTATCAATTTTTTTTAAATAGTTTAAGTATTTGTAACTCCATTTTGGGCGATAAAAATATTGGCAATTTAATAATTTCTAAAATTAAAATCGAAGTTGTCCATTTTTCGTTTATATATATGCTTCGACAAGAGGCAATAATGAAAATAAACGTAATAAAAATATGCACTTTTTACAAGTTATTTTTTTAAACCATCTATATCACATTCAATATTTAAGATATAAAATTAAACTTTTTGGTCTACCATCTACTCGGTTTTTGGTTCTTCAATTTTAAATTTATTTTTTTTTTCGTAGATTATATTATGTAATAAATAAATTAAAAAAAACTTTACAACTTAATCTTAAATATGGAACAAACATTAAAGCTATAAATAATTAACTGTTAGCAATCTCATTTAATCATTATTCGAAATAGATTACATATTTAAGAGGCTTTAAGTAATCAATACCGATTACACTTTGCCTCAAAAATTTTTATTTCCAACTCTAATTTTTTCTTCAATCAACCGACATATATTAATGCATAAGGGTTAGCTTTCGGCTTTGAGTTTTCTTAAATCCATTCGTCAGGCTTTCTTTTTGTGTAAGAATTTCATTGAAGTTATTTTAGAATGTAACCAACATTCTTTACACCTGTAAAAGTTAACAGGTAAGACAATAACTTCTTGTTAAAGTTTATTAATAGTTTCTTCCAGGAATATAAGTTTCGGCCTCATCAAGACCACATTATCACGTTACATCAACTATTTGCCTTCTCACATATACAAAGTTATTATGTTAGGTTTATTATGTGATGATTTAATTGTGAAACTAACAATTTATGCTTGTCCTTTCAAATAAAATTAAATCTTAATTTTTTATAATCAAGATAATTAAATGTAATGTTTTTTTTCCAAATGAATAAGCAAAGTATTTATTATTTCTCTAAAAAGTAACTTAATCTTCTAAACACAATTAATCCATCTTCTTCAGCCTCTCCAATTCTTTCAACATCTCTGGCGTGATTGTGTAAGTCTAAAATCAGATATTTTTAAAAATTCGTATAAAAAATATTGGACTTAACATACCATTTGTTAAATATAAATCATTTCCCACTGTTTTAATCCGACTTCGGCATTTTCTTGAACGATTATGTATACATTCCCAATAAACTCTATCATGTCTTCTTCCAAATCGCCTTAAGTTAGAACGGTATAAAAAATCGTTCACGACAAGCAATGTACCGCCTTTTCGACTGATTATGAATTTTTGTGGTCCACAGTTTGCTAAAAACTGTGGTATAACTAAAACAAAAAAAGTACGACATTATGTTATTTTATATGCAAATAGTGTTTAGTTTTGTTTAAATAATTTAAAAATAGAATTCAGAGATTTTGTTATGAGAAATTTTAAAAAGAAATTTTATTTTCTTTGTTTAATTATTTATATATTATTAAACCAATAAAAATATAGTCTAAATGTGGAACACTCAAATATTATATATATATGTTTATAAAAATACGATAACTTTAATATTTTAATTATTTCAAAAATATATACTTTAACCATATAAATATTCACATTAATTTCATATGAAAATTGAAATTAATTTTTTGTCAACGTAAGAATATTATTGTTTGATTAAATATTAAACATGTTCTGCATGCTTGCATGGCATGCATGCTGTAAAAGTTAGCAGGTAAGAAAATCACTTCTTGTTAAAGTTTATTAATAGTTTCTTCCAGAAATATAAATTTTATTTATAAGGTCTGGCTTTGTGTTTTTCGACAGAAGTTTCGGCTTCATCAAGACCACAATAACTATTTGCCTTATCACATATACAAAGTTGTTATGTTGTGTACTTCTTCAAGGATGATTTAATTGTGAAACTAACAATTTATGCTCGTCCGTCCAAAAAAAATTAAATTTTATTTTTAATAATCAAGATAATTTAATGTAACGTTTTTTTTCCAAATGAATAAGCGAAGTATTTATTACTTCTCTAAGAACCAACTCAATCTTCTAAACACAATTAATCCATCTTCTTCAGCCTCTTCAATTCTGTCAATATCGCTAGCGTGATTGTGTAAGTCTAAAATCAGATATTTTTAAAAAACTTGTATAAAAAATATTGGACTTAACATACCATTTATTAAATATAAATCATTTCCCATTGTTTTAATCCGACTTCGACATTTTCTTAAACGATTATGTATACATTCCCAATAAACTGTATCATGTCCTCTCTCTAATCGCCTTAACTTAGAACGGTATAAAAAATCGTTCACGACAAGCAATGTCGTTCCTGTTTGACTGATTATGAATTTTTGTGGTCTACAGTTTGCTGAAAACTGTGGTATAACTAAAACAAAAAATGCACGACATTATTTTATATTATATGCAAATAGTGTTTAGTTTAGTTTAAATCATTTAAAAACAGAATTCAGAAACAAATTTTATTTTATTTATTTAATTATTTATATATTTGTAAACCAATAAAAATATAGTCTAAATGTGGAACACACGAATATGATATATATATTTATAAAAATACGATAACTTTAATATTTTAATTATTATAAAAATATATACTTTCATTGATTTTATATGAAAATTGAAATTAATTTCTTTGTCAGCGTAAGAATATTATTGTTTGTTTAAATACTAAACATGTTCTGCATGCTTTTCACCATTTAAAGTTCAACAATTTTTCTAATTAATAGCTAATAAAATATTTAACTTTAATATTATGTCCACAATATTTTTTACTTATTATTTCTTACTATACGCCTTAATTATCTTCTGATAAAACGTATATAATTATTTATTTTTACCAAGAAGTACTTTTTGCAAACGTTTCTTTAATTTTTCACGAAAATCAACTGGATTTTCCGCATCCGTAAAGTGTGACTGTTCTTCCTGACTGTTAATTTTGATAAATTCTTTTGATTCCTTCTCATTATTTAATGGTATTTCTATTTCAAGAACATTAGATAAATTATGAACTTTAACAGAAGTGTTTGCTACATTCGTCTCATGTTCATCACTTTTGCTTTGAATTAAATCTAAATGTGAAGGTTTTGCTTCTTTTTCTCCATCGTTATTCAGATCAGGTTCAAACATAACTGAAGTTACACTTTTATCAGTTGCAAGCATATAGTGAACATGTTCTCCATCTAAAGGATAAACTCGCTTTTGGTCTGATACAACTCGTACTTTACATTCTTCTTTATTTTCCTTATAACAACATTGAAATATAGAATATTGACCTTTGCGGAACGAGTACCGAAAATGATGTCCATCATATATAAGTTTCATACCACCTTTAGTCGTGGATGCATAGACTGGTCGAGATGGTTTATTTTCACGTATAGTAGCGTGAATTTTTTCCATTAACGGAACTGTCGAAACTTCTTCTTTGTTTTGTTTACGGGGTCGTCCGGGTCTCCTTTTCTGGGTACCAGCAGACGAAGTTGCAATCGTAGCATGCTTAACTTTTTTTCTTAGTTTATCTAAAAATACAAATTATTTGTTAGAATTTTTTTTACAAATATGTATTATCTTAAAACTAAAATAAAACAACAAGAAAAATTTGTAAAATGATGTATTTATTTTATTATGAATGAATTTATGCACGCGTCATCCACAGAGTTGCAATTGCAGAGACTAAAATATCAACAAGTTAAAGATGTATACAATTTTTTATTGCATTCATACGAAATTCATACCTTTTATAAAATTTGTGTGACTATCAAAACAGATTGCTTATATTAATTATTTCGTCTTATTGTAATCAGTTAATGCCAGCTTATATGTTATATTAATAAATAATACATAAAAATGTTTATAAATCGAAAATTTTACTACATATTACAATTTATAAACATATTTTTTTACCGGCTTATTGGTCAATAATGTAAAGGTGTTATACCAAAAAAATAATCAACAAAAATGCTTTTTCTTGAAAATGCTATATTGTCTCCAAAATCCTAGTGACACCAGACTCAACTATAAAACTGGCATACTACACTGTGCTCAGGTGTATAATATCAGTTTCAACAAATCTGGAAGAGGATAAATATATCTCTCCTATATTTGTTATTTTTATATTTATTGTCAAAATATTGTGTAATTGTTTTCTATATACATATATGTATATAATTCATGTTGCGATGTTAATGTATTTTGTAATTGTTTCTTTTTGATATGTACTAAAATATTGTTACATTATATTAAAATTTTATAGTACCCTAATGATGAGTATAGATTATAGTCGAAATATCGGTTAAATTAAAATTTTTTTAAAACAAATAAATACTTTTTAAAAAGTTTATTATTTAACTGTTGACCAATTAGCCCGTAAAAAAGACAAAATTGTTATTAATAATTTTTGGGCATTGAAACAATAAATTATGACAATTTATGAAGTATGCACTTCACATTCATGACATATGATATATTTGCCATGCTAAATCGAATAATAAAAACCAAATAAATCAAAATAGATTTTAAGATTAATTTTAGGTGGGTTTGTGTATAAAAATTAAAACTGATATAAGATTGCTGTCTATCAATCAATCATAGAATTCATCAGCTGTTTTATAGGCAGCATAAAATATTTATTTGTTGGTAGTGAATATGGACAACAAGTATTAATATGCATATAATAATACTTTTGAATAAGCATCTTGCCTTTTCATGTATAATTTTTAATTCAATTAAAGTAACAGCTAAAAACTTAAACATATTTTTAAATCTTTACGCTTTATTTAAAACCAATGGTTTTTGCATAAATTGACAATAAACTGCTGCTAAAAGTTTTGTTGTTGCAAATTTTAAATTCCGCGACAACTGTAGTATCTTCAATAAATTCAATTTATTAAATTGTGTAGGTGAACTTGTTACACAAGTCTATTAAATGCTCTTGGAAAGTTTAAAGTGATTTCAAGGAAAATTTTTATTAGAAGATTTTATGCGTTAACAAGATAATTCAAATATTATTTGATAAAATATTTAAAATTTAAATAAAAGTTATATTTACCTTTCATATAATTTTTGTTATGATCTAGAACACATAATAATAAATAATAAATATACAATAATAAAGTGGCCCCTTACAACAAAGTCTGCAATTGAGTTTTAATTAATTTTTAAAAACTGTTTAAAACCTGTTTATTGAGGATATGAAGAGCATATCATGTTAATGTACATTGTTCAGAGCACGCTTGTAAGCTTGTTTGAAAGGTAAGCATACCTAAATGTGTGTTGCGGCCATTTTGAAATCTATTACGATTTTCTGTTTTCAGTAACTTTTTTCGCCGCGCTAGCATAAATGTTGTGAGAAATATTGTTGCTTATAATTTTTATTTTATAAATCTACATTTACTAAATTAGCGGTAGTTTTACAGTTTTTTTGCCCTTATATTAGTCACAACTGCTTGGTTTTGATTAAAATACAATAAATTGTGGAATTAATAGTAGTGCGTGAAAATCGAAATATTGCATACCAAAGTAAAGAATTGTAAAAATGTGTGAAATGCAAAAATATTTAGATAACTTATTATTCACAAAAGTTTTATCAAGTAAAATATGTCGGTAAGTGTTTTCATGTTTTTTCTGTCATAAAGTAAAATGTGTATATGTTCAAAATTATATGAAAACTAATGAATAGAAACGAAGCTTGCCATTTTCTCGCCTCAGTACAATACTGCAAAACTCAAAAATGGAAATTTTTTTGAGGAAGAAAAACAAAGTTTTAATGTCAAACCAAATTCTTCTGAATGTAATGCAAAACTCAAAATTATAAAAAATTAGTGAAAAAATGTTACATTATAAATATTGCATTAAATTATTTCATTAAGTTGTTCTACGCGTTCTCTGTGCTTGGCAATAATAGCTGAAAACCGCCAAAATTGGTGAGGTTGTAATAACAAACTGTGGCGAACCACTGATCTTTATAAATTAGATTTCATATATAAGAATATTTAATATAGTCATATTTCATTGCAAGTTATTTATAGTTCATTTCAAGTTAATAAATATTCATTTTAAATGGTTATATGCGTTAAATGTAACAACAACCTTTTGCAAAAAGAATGATTTTACAGATTTATGGACCTGAACTGCACTCATCTGAAAATATCAAACTCTTACGACAATAAAAAATTGTGTTCAAATTAGGGTTTGAGATGAATAATTCTTTTATAGAGACTTAAGTTGTTGAGCTGGAAAAGAGTTAGCATTCATATTTATAAATATATAATAAATAAATAAATATTTATAAATATATGTTCTAAATAATAGTCGTATGTAGTTAAAAAAAAGTTAATACATTTTATTTGTAAAGTAATTAAGTCAGTTATTGAAAATATCTTAATTACAAAAATAGATTATCAGTGCAAAATTTATGTGTTCTAACGCACCATAATTGAATAAAACACTTGTTTTATTAAGTTTATGGTACCAAGATGGCAAAACCAAACAAGCCACAATTTTGATAACCTATGATACTGTTGCAAGACCAGTGGAGCCAGAAAGTTCGAAATGAGTTGTAATGGCCAGTAAAATAATTCCTCGCGTCACTCAGAAGGTTTCCAATGCAACAGTGATAGAGTTAGAGAGTTATTGATTTCATAAAATCATCAACCTTTGTTAAAAGTTTATAGTTGTCCGAGAAAGTCAGCTTTTCCGATCACAAGCACTTTAATTTCAGTTTAGAATCAACAACGACCAAAAAGCTAACGTATAGTATATCACATGACTCATGTATTTGATATAAAATTTCTCAAGACTTACAGGTTAAAAACAAATAAAACAATTCTGTGATGGATTAACAACCTAGCATTATTTCGAAAAAACTAGAGGTCCGTTCATTAATGCTAGAATTCATCATTCATCAGATGATTATATAGCTATCTTTACGTGCTTTGAAATACTGACCTGAGAGACCTTATGCGGAAAACTTTAAAAATGTGTTTATATTAAACTATACTCTCGAATAGTATATCACCTAGAATATAAACACTCAACAGAAGGAAAATGAGAAACACTGACGACTGAGTACCTGGACTACAGATTGCGTAAAATGATGTCCATCTTCCCTATCCTAAATAATCTGACGAACATAAGGAGTTGGTTTTCGTGTACTTTAAATGTCTAGAGCCAGATAATGTCTTTCCAGTTTATCTCGCATATATATTAAAAGCTACCTAATAAAGAATAGTTCTACAGACTGTCACTGTCATTAATCTGTTATTGTTTATAATCAAAAATTAATGAAACTTCATATCTGTACAGATTTATTAAAGATGTTAGTGCTCCAATAAAGTTAATGAACTGTTAATGAACAAACAAAAAACTTAAAAGAAAGTTTTGAGATCAAAGGAATTATGCTACGCGTTTTTACGGACATAGTACGGTTCCTTTGATAATTATTAGGAACAGCACTGTCTATGATGCTTAATTCGCTTCCAGATCTAAATGGAAATAATAACCATATAGGCTTAGAGTGGCAAACAACATTGTTGTATTTTGGAATCCAGAACAAATGACAGAGTTGAAGCATATGTGCGTACTCTCGGTTGCAAATGATTTGTCCTCTCTGTAAGGACCATACAATATTTTATAAGGAACTTTTTGCAGTTAAAAGCATTAATAACATATATTTATAAACATTAATCAATGCTTGAAGATGATAACCCTAAGTAAACTGGCACAAAGGAATTAACGCAAAGGTGCAATATCTAATTATCAAACAATAGTTACACAAAAAATTTTTAGAAAACGTTCTGAGTCTTAATAAATTTGTTATAATATGTAGAAATAAAAATTAGGGAAATTTTGGTTGGGAAATTTAGCTTGTCATGATAATCTAAAGATTCATTGACCTTAAACCATTATTTTGTCTTCTTGATTATATGTTGCGGATAGTAGCCCGAAGTCATGTTCCAATCGGATTTTAAAAATTGTGTTTGTAGGATTTGAAGAAAATTGTTTTTGGATACAAACATTTTTTATATAATTATCAACAAAATACTCTTTGTGAGTTAAGAAGCTGTCCAAATATATTTAGATCGCCGCTATTTCAGTTCTCACTCTTTATTAAAGTCCCTTATTACGACGTACATTGCATAAAATAATATTAAATTGAGAGTTGAAATTGATATTCTATCGATAAATTTACCAATTATTTGTGAAAAATATGTTTTATAATTTTGTTAAGTAGTTTTATTTAATTTTACGAATTATTTTATTGCATCTAATAGATATCTATTTTAATAATTAATGATTAATTAAAATATTATTTTTATAATAAACGAAATTTACGTAAAGGTAATATACATATGTAAAAAATTTATTACATTTTTACAATTTAATTGTTGCGTTTGTTATAATTGCAGAGTAAGAGTATACAAGTATTTAGACATCTAAGTCTTCTATCTAATGTAGGAAGAGGTTTTCTTAAAACTGGAATAAACAATAGAATCCTGAAAGCATCAGCAATATTCGTATCCTGTAATTTGTGTTACAAAAGAAGCCGTGTTTATAGCCGTGTTTATAGCCGTGTT